GTTCATCAAACTAAGTGTGGTTGTTAATATTTGGGTCAGGGACAGGAATGACTAATTCATACGTCTCCATTGAGAGAGGGGGAAATAGAGACAATTGGCTAACGTTTGTCAACTAAGATGCCTTCCTAGGACTCTTCTGGAAAAAAACTAAATGGCAAGCTTTTCATATCTATATTTTGGTAAGTAATACTGCTCTTGGCTATTTTTGCTCTGGGCTTCTGAAACTCCAATTTCTAGTCAAGAAACTGCATTTCTGGGCTGTGTGTGGAGCATTGCCTAGGAGTTTGGTTTCCTGGGTTCTTTTCATCTGCTCTCCTGCAATGCAGGAGGAGCCTAGCCTGGTGTCCAGTTTCTGACTGGAGTTACCGCAGGCGCAGGCCGAAAGGGCTGCTAGCCACTGAGCTGTGAGTAATTTGCTTTTGAGAAGTAAATAGAACCTCACCAGTAGAGAACCCAGGGGTGTGGCCAGTAAGTAGTTCTTTTCCCAGGCTCCTCCCTCCCCAGCCCCGCAAGTGACCGTAACCTTCTTTCAAGGCTGGAGAGCAGCCAAGTCCAGCCTAAACAATACTCTCAACCTCATTGGCTCTTTTGCCTTGCGGCCACTACCACCCCCAAGTGGCTAAGGCCCTTCCCACTGGGCCTCTCGGTGGGGTCAAGGTTTTCTAACTACCGAAAGGCAAACACCGAAGAAAGGGTGAAAAACACCTAGTATCCGTGGCCTTTAAATGATCAGCATTTTGGCTCCTGAAATTGGGAGGAAGGGTGGGGTCCTTGTCCCAGGGTGGATGGGCATCCTCAAGTGATATGTATGGCCAGAGCCAAAAAGGATGCTTCTGGTAAATGCCCAAGACCTGACTGGTGCCACCCCTAGTGTCAGCATGGATTTAAGTGTCATCCAGCATCCTTGGAAACTGCCAACGAATGCCCACGAAAAGAATCCGCACGAAAAGAAGTAGCATAAAGTTTGGGTAAGGTACAGCTGTCTGTCATCACAGGCATTAGCCCTGCCTGCTAACAGCTGGCAGTGACAGAATCAGAGGCCAGTGTGCTCACTTTTGTCCCATAATGGCCTGGCCTCAAAGCCAAGATCAGGATCAGCTACTCCGTCATTCCCCTAAGATTAGGACCACGGAAAGTTTGGTGTCTGGAAGCTGAGTTACTGAGAGATGGCCAAGGCCATCTCCAGATGTGGCAGCAGAGCAAAGCAGCTACAGAGAAAAATGAGTCGTCAGGTTGCTCCAGGGAAGTGAGTGCTCCATGAGAACTCCCAAACTTCCTTCACATCTTCAGTGGGAAAATCACTTGCTCCCCTTTTTGTTCAGGGAGTTGTAACGGTGCACCTTTTTTTAAAATAAAATATTTATTTATTTATTTTTGGTTGCGTCGGGTCTTAGTTGTGGCACGTCGGATGTTTCATTGCGGCGCACGGGCTTCTCTCTAGTTGTGGCGTGCGTGCTTCAGAGTGTGTGGGCTCTGTAGTTGCGGCACTCAGGCTCTCTAGTTGTGGCGTGTGGGCTTAGTTGCCCCACGGCATGTGGGATCTTAGTTCCCCAATCAGGGATTCAACCCGTGTCCCCTGCCTTGGAAGGCAGATTCTTAACCACTGGACCTAACAGCTCATGTTTATCAAGCACTTTGTGCCAAGCACTGTAAAATCCATAAGGTAGATGATACTATCATCTCCATGAGGACAAGGACTGTGTCTGTCTTGCTTAGTGTTACAGCCTCATCCCCATCACATAGTAGGCACTCCTATTTCGTTGAACAAATCAAAAAGATAAAACTGTAATTTAATGGAGGAAACAGTAGGTAGGAGCTGTTAAGACTTGGTGTGCCTTATGTAGAATTCTCGGCATAGCCCGTAAAGACTCTTAGTTGTGTGGGGAAAAAAAGGAAGAGAGGGAAAGAGGTAAACCTGAGAAAGATTAAAATACTGTGGGGTGGTAAAAAACAAAACAAAACAGCCAGGGAGGCTGAAGACCTGAATTCAAATCCCACCTCTGCCCCCAGCTGTGTAACTTCAGGCCAGTCACTTCTTCCCGAGCCTTAGTTCCCTCATCCATAAAATGCAGGTATGAGGTTAAACAAACGGATTTATTCACTAGTTCCTTACTGAGTACACACAATGTGCAAGGCATTGTTCTAAGTGCTGGTAACACTTTGGTGAACAAGGCCCCTGCTCTCATAGAGCTTGCATTCCCTAAGAGGAAAACAGACAATGAAATGAGGAAAATTCATGGACAGGACAACCAGGTGATAATAAGTGCTATGATGAAAGCAGAACAGTGATGGGATAGTACAGAGCGGTAGTTGTGGCTGGGTAGACAGAGAAAGCTTCTCCAAGGAGGTGACATTTCAGCTGAGACCTGAATATAGTGCGTTGGCCAAAGAGTGGTCGGCAGTGAAGCATTTCAAACGGGGGAAACAGCAAGAGCAGAGCCAGGCAAGTTCAGAAACAGAAATGCTGTCTCTTACATTCTAGGAGTCTAGAAACAGCGATGCACTGCTTACATTGTTTAATTTGGTCCGGGATTTGTATTATGAAACCGTTTCTTGGTGGTGTGGCATATCTGCTTCTTTATGGAAGTGTTTGGGCGGTGTAGAATCTTTTGGGAGCCCTGGGATACGTCCCTGTCTCTCCAGCTCTCCCACAGTGCTGGCCGCTCAGGGGCTCCCTGTGTAGATGCAGGCTCCATTTTAGCTGCAGACTCTAAAAGCAGACTGGAGAGAGCTGCCTCCTCCACTACTTACTCACAGCCTTGAAGGCCCAGAACCCCTCCCACCCCACCTAGTCCTCTTCCATTCTGACAAGCCAGAGCTTTGAGAGCACAAGATTCAGCTTCCTTGTTTTCCAGTTGGAGCAGCAGCCAGAAAATGAAACAGGAAACAGAGCGGAAGAGAAGGGGGGTGGGTAGTAGAGAAGGAAAGGAAGGAGAGATTGCAAGAAAGTAGGGCTGAAGAGCTGGACAAAGTTCTACCTCTAAAGGGTGACAGTTGAGCTTTTAAAAAATTCTCATGTGTCAAAAGAGACCCCTGTCCTTTTTACAAACAGATTTTTGAGGGAATTTGGTGTGAACAGAGGGAACCTAAAGAATGCATGTCTTTTTCCCTTGTGAATCCACAAAGGAAGGATAGTTCATTTCTCAGTTTTGTCTCTGCAAACACAGTACTGCTTGGAGCCTCACAGACTTCTAGAGATCCAAGCCACAAGCTTAGGCCCCAGGCACGAGTGTGCCCCACGGCTCTGCCGATTCACTCACATCCCTCCGGAGCTGAGAGCAAGGGTGTGTCACCGAAAAACCTGGGGTTCTAAACTCCATTTTCCCCCTTCTCCTTCAACACACCACAACTAAAACGTGATTTATCCACCTTACACACAACAAATACCTGAGGGCAGTTCAGGTCCCAGGGCCTGAAATGAGCTATAAAGAATCAAAAGGCACAGTCCCTGGCCCCCAGAGAACTGCTGTGGATTCGCTGTCTTCGCCTGGAGCGAGAGCAACCACCTCTTTTGTTCCCACCCACAGTAGTAGCTGTTGCGGAAGATAAAGCCCTCCCTCCGCCAGGGCTGTGGCCAGAGGCTAACCCAGACCCTAGCTTCGTTTGGAGGGCAGATAACTGAAACCACAGGCGGCTTTGGAATCCTGAGAAACGAGAAATCCACCAACGGAGAAGGATTTATTATCTATTTCCTTTAAGGAGGGTGCAAAGCTGTTCTAACAGTTTCCGTTACAGGGTTCCCAACTGGCCGCTCCTCCCGCACAGACAGTTCTGTTGAGTTAGCTTCTTTCTTTCTTCTGCTTTTTTGGGCCCACTTTCTACGAGAGAGAAACTGCTTGAGTAAGGAAGGAGAAAGGAGTCCTGGGGGTCGTTCTCTGAAGTTTCCTTCACCGCCCTCGTCAGCCACGGGAGGTGGGGCTGCGGGCTGCAGCGGGAGCGAAGGTCCCGAGCAGCCGGAGGAGGGGAAAGTCGGGGGGAACCCCCACTTTCTTCACGCCCAGGACGCAGGGGGCCGCTCCTGGCCACAGAAGCCCCAAGCAGGCTTTTCTTTCCCTTCAGAGAACAGCTATTGTGTGCTAGGCCCTGTACTGAGCTGTTGTTGCCTGACAGCAGGGAAAGTGCGGCTCTGCCTTCCGTTTAGAGGCCGCGGGGCAGCCCCCAACTCCGAGGGCCTTGGCCCACAGGGGAACTCAGTGGATGTTTGTGGGGTGCAACTGGGGCAAGAGCACCGACTCGGAGACAGCAGCCCCGGCGGACTAACTGAAGGCGGGGGGAAGGGGCTGAGGAACCCCTGGTGTCACCAAAGCGGGAAAGTGCCAAGGCGGAGGAGAGCGGAGGAGAGCGGAGGATCCGGCTCACGCCATCCACACCCCGCTCGCCCGGACTCAACATGGCCGCTGCGGCGGGGGGCGGGGCAGCTCCGAGTCCCGGCAGGAGCGGGGCGGGGCCGCCATCAGCGGAGCCAGTACGCAGGCGCGGCCGCTCGGGGCCCCGGATGGAGGAACTGTGGTTCGGGCCCCGCCTGGGAGGTAGAGACCGGCGGGCGCTGGGGATCCGGCGCCAGCTTGGGAGCCTAGGAGTTCTGGGGGGAGGGAAGTTGTCAAACGGAGGCCGAGGGAAATGAGGCGGAGGCCGCCGAGAAGCGAAGAGCCCCGCCCCTCCGCCATAGCGGCCTCCCAGGGCCGCCTCTTCCGTTACAGCCTCCCGCCCTCCCCTGCCTTCCGGCCTTAGGCCGGGACGGGCCTCGCCGGCCCCCTCGGGAGTAACCTCTGAGCCGTGGCCCCTTTGGGGAGAGGAGATGCCCAATCCCCTCTTGGGACTGTGTCCGAAAGGAAGGGGCTAGAACGGGCTTCGGACCCGCCTAGGCTGGCAGAAGGCGGCCCCTGCCTCGCGGCGGCCATCAAGACCTCTGGTCCTAAGGACCCTGGGTCCGAACACCACCACCCACCCCGCGCCCGCCCCTGAGGATGTTAGTCTTACAGCCCAGGATGTGAGTCCTGGGCTCCGATTCAACAGGTTTTCCTATCTGCTCAGATAGGGCCCTCCCTGCCCTAAGCATGGCCAGCAAGAGCATGCGCTGTCACTGGACAAGTCCTGGGCTGGGAGTTGGGAGACCCTGGTTGTAATTCTGGCTCTGAAAGAGCGCATCCCCTTTGGCAGGAGTGACGGCTGGTGGAAAGATGGATGTTTCAGACAAAAAAAAATTCTCCTTAAATATAGCCTTGGGAGTGCCACTTGACCCCAGTGAGCCTCAGTTTCCACATCCATAAAATGGCGATGGTAATTACACAGGGTCTAATGAGATCTCTGACGTAAAAACTCTGGAGAGTCTTATTACTCACCTCTCTGGGGCATATTTATCTCACGGGAAAATAGAGTAAAACTAGTTGCTCTGTAAGTGTCCTGCCAGTTCAGAGGGCCTGTGATTTCGTAAACGGGTTGTTGGGAAGTAAAGCCCGCAATTAGCTGAGAGGGAGAGCTCACTGGCTTTATTTTTGTTTCACATGGTTTACCTGTAAACTAAGTGTAGCTACAAGTCGTCTGTGATCGCTGGGTCTAGAGCTTGACTCTGGAGAAAGGAAAGGAAGAATGGAAGCCTGGTGAAGAGGCAGAGGTGGGTTCCGTGCTTTTCTTTTCCCAACTCTTCTGCATGTGGGTGGGAAATGAAGGAAGGGAAAAAGTGAATTCACCCTCGGATGGAGAACCAGCGGCCGTGTAAGGTTGGCTGTGCTTGTTTCTACGATTCCTTTCGATTCGGCGAGTCAGATGTTGGCAGTGTTGGGGGGATTTCAGAAGCTTGCCTTTGAACTGAATTTTGATGAGCAAACCGGTGTGGCGTTTGTGGCCCCTCCCTTCCTCCAGGCCTCCTGGTGATGGAGTAAGCAACAGGCGCCCCCTTGTGCTGAGAGGAAAGAGAACTGTTGCTTATGGCCAGTTTTCTGGAGAAATTGTATTTTCCTGTGGCTTCTGTGACTTTGTCGTTTTGTTCTCAACATGAGATATGGTGGGAGGAGTACTCGGAGCAGGGATTTTATATCCAGAGCCAATGAACTGGTGAAGCCATATCCAGTGCTTACTACTTCCACTCAATTAGAACACAGGCTTAAAATGCTTGTTTGTAGTGCTAGGCCCTGGGGATATAGTTGGGAGCAAGATAGACAAAGCCCCTGCCCTCATAAACAACCTAAATAAGCAACAGCAATAAAGACGACAAGGCAGAGTGTAATGAGAGCATATCACATAGTCTAGTGAGAGTCAGAGAATTCCAGAAACAAGTGATAACCTAAAGGTTTGATAGGAGATAGGAGAAGGAAGAAAAGTCTTCCAGGCCTTCCTCCCTGTTAATTTCTCAGTTCTAGTATTTTTTCTTTTAGCGTTAGTTCTTCACCCCAAGTGGATGAGCTGCCCCTGATGCTCTTGCCCTTCCTTCTGATTTCCGACTGGTTCCGTAGGAGCCATTGCTACTTCTTTTAGCACAAGGAATTGTTAAAAAAAAAAAAAAAAATGCCTTAAAGTGCATTCCTTCCCTCAGAATGGCTTTGCAGTTGTTTATACATTGCTGCCATTCCAACAAAGAGATGGGAAATAACAGTTTTCCCCATCCCTAGTAGTCGACTCTGTCGTCCCCCTAAGTTTGTTTTAGCAATGTGAGCTGGCTGAAGTCCTGCTGAGTGGTGGTTTTCTTTTCCTTCTCCACTTAATTTAACAGACCAGCTGAACACACATCAGAGAGCTTAACTAGAGTGTGTAGTCATTATGGTCTTCCAGTTCAGTTCTATGCCCCACTTTTGGGACTCTGGTTTGGGACCTAGTTTATTATTCTGGGCAACAGAGAAAGGGCACACACTAAATAACGGCAACCACAATATAGATTTGGTACTACTTCTTCACACTTCAGTCCATTTCACATCGTGACAATTTCATGAGACAGGCAAAATAGTCCGATCTCATTTTTTTAATTAATTAATTAATTTATTATAAATTTATTTATTTATCTTTGGTTGCATTGGTCTTTGTTGCTATGCATGGGCTTTAGTTGCTGTGAGCAGGGGCTACTCTTCTTTGTGGTGCGCGGGCTTCTCATTGCGGTGGCTTCTCATGTTGCAGAGCACGGGCTCTAGGCGCATGGGCTTCAGTAGTTGTGGCACGCAGGCTTCAGTAGTTGTGGCACGCGGGCTCAGTAGCTGTGGCTCACGGGCTGTAGAGCGCAGGCTCAGTAGTTAGGGCGCGTGGGCTTAGTTGCTCAGCGGCATGTGGGATCTTCCCGGACCAGGGTTCGAACCCGTGTCCTCTGCATTGGCAGGCGGATTCTTAACCACTGTGGCACCAGGAAAGTCCCCCGATCTCATTTTATACACAGAGAACTGAGGCTTAGAAGAACAAAATGAGAACTTATGAATGACAAAGTCAGGACTTGAACCCAGGTCTTTAGTTCCTGGATAGGGGCACTCAACAGGCTTTTAAAGGTTTTCTGTGAGCTTAGCTTTCCAGCTCCATGCCTATCTGTGTGGAACTTCCCCTACAAGAATACAGTGCTTGAGAGTGACACCAAGAGGTCCCATCTGCCTTTAAGACGCTTTTTCCTCATCTGGAAAGTAAGGTGGTTAAGTCTGCCATAGTAGTCCTGAAGCAGGGGTGATGTTTTCATGAAGAATGCTTTCAATAATTTACTTTCTGCCTATGTGTGACATTTCCTCTTTGGGTTTTGGAGTTTAGAAGCCTGAGGGAGTTCATCCCTGGCAGCAGCCCCCCTGAATTCCTGGTGGTGAGAGGATGTGGCCCCTGGACACATCCCGGAAAGAGGTCCTGGGGTTTGCAGTCAGCTGCCGTGTCCTGACTCTGGTGCTGCAGGTCAGTCTCTGATCTTTTGTCCTGAACGTGCCATTGCCACATGACTGGGGTAGACATTAAGAATAGGCCTCATCTTCTTTCCCTTTCCCAGATGCGCCCCCCGCCCCACCCCCGACCATGTGGTTAGAACTATAGAGACCTAGACCACATAGCTGAAAAGTGGGCAGGACTCGTAGATATGACCTATTAATCTCTTATTTTATATTTATTTATTTATTTATTTTGATCTATTAATCTCTTATTTTACACATGAAGTAGCTGAGGCCCAGAAAGGATAAATGGCTTCCTTAAAGTCACAAGGCAAGTTAGAGAAGGACCAGAATCAGACCCCAGGTTTCCTTACTCTTGGGCTAGTGGTCTTTCCAGCAGACCATGATGTTCTGTAACCAGAACAGGTGTGTTCTGGTTTAGGGTGTGACAGCTCAAAGCGTTGCCCTGGGTCCCCTGACCAGGAGACTGAGCGTTGCATCAGTCAGTTGAGTGGGAGAGAGGTGGCACTGTCCTGAGACCCTCTGTGTATAGTTGTTTAGTCAGCAGTGTCTCCTACTCTTCCCCCAGCTGTGTCCCCTTGCTGTCTCACCCACACACAACCTGCAGAATGCATTTTGCAATTCCCTGTCCCCTCCAAGGCTGCCCTTGATACATATTTTAATCAAATTTCAGGTATATATGAACTATGTATGGTGCCTAGCACAGTGCCCAGTGCTTAGTAGGTCTTCAGTATCTGTTATTGTTGAATGTATGTCAACACCCCAGGGATGTTCTATTAGCATATTATATGTGCCTTTCATCACAAGCACATTCTCTCTGAGGCTCATCGGTGGTTCCTTTGTGGAAAACTCCTTTTTTCTCTCCTCCCCCACTATGTGAGGCATAACAGCCTCTGTTGGGTCCCAGGTTTAGTTAGAAGTGTCTTCAACTTGGAGACTAGGGCTGTTACCTGTGACTGTCACTCCTGTCCCACTTGTTTTCACTGTTTGAAGTGGCCTGATAAAGAAACTGACCGAAAAAGGGAAGAGCCTTAAAAATGAGGTTATACTCCTGTTGCTAGGCTGGAAAACTGACTTGATGATGGCTTTGAACCAGCATCAGCTGAATGATTGACAGAACTAAGGGAGCAATACTGTGACTCGGCATCTGGGATAGGGTACCAGGACAGCTGGGTTCTAATTCAGATGGTGATTTGGAAACAAGTATGTTTCCTCTATACTGTTCGCTCAACCACCAAATTTTATTAAGCTCCTGCCCTGGTCAAAGAACTATGCTAGGTGGGAGTATAAAAAGTCACGACCTCTTTTCCCTTAAGCAGCTGACCAAATCTAACGGGGCAAAAAGACATTTAATAATAATGCTATTTCATTATCCTCCCCTCCCCGCCTTCCAGCTTTAAAGCTCGCGCCATCAGGTTATACCCCAGTTACCCTTTGTTGTTGCTGTCATCTCTGTTAGCGACAACTCATTCCTCCTCATTCCTTGAAGGTTTTAGCTCCTGATTCACTGCTACTCTTTCCAGCACTACTGTATATTTCTTGGTGGTTTCAATATTAGTAAAGCTGATACATCTAACCACTATCTCCTATCTTTCCAGTTCACTCCCTCCACTACCCCAGTTCTAACGATTCTTCCACTCCCTCAGGACTTATCCATTGATTCTACCACGGTTTCACTGTCCCTCACCTGCCTCATGGCTTCAGCTCCACTTCTTACCCAGCTTAGATTCCATGGTCCACCATGCATACACGTACAACTCACTCGCTCCCTTCTCTCTATGTCTTAATCACAAGACAAAAGCCCAGCCATGGTTAAATTCAATTCTGTGTCTACTCCACGCATGCATCTGCCCAGAGAAAAGCACACAACTGTGTTAACTAGTCTCTTTGTATTCAATATCATTAACCCAAGTGAGTCCTTAGTGCTGCCTGGCAATCTTAGTGTATTTCCCTGGTCCAGTCGCTCACCCATTCTCTCAAATTTTTCTGCACATCAGAATCAGCTGGGAGAGCTAAAAACAATCTAAACGCCCAGGCTGTACCCCATATTGGTTAAGTCATCAATGTTGTAGCAGGAGGGAAATCCAGGCATCAGTATTTTTGAAACCCCTTGGGCGATTCCAGTGCACAGCCTATTTTGAGAACTAGGGTCATAGATGACTTATTTTACACGTTTTCCTCTTAAGTCTCTAGCACCTTTTCCCCAGCTTGTTTTCCTGAGTGAAAATTCAGAAAAGTAGAAGCAATAAGAAGTAACCTTCTGAATACTTCCACCACAGCCATCAGCATACCTACATCTGCACCTCTGTGCCTTCACTACTGAAGGGTGGATGAACTGTCTGTCTCCTCTCTAAGGCCAGTTCCACCTCCAAAGCAGATTCCATCCCCTTTTGCCTGCTCCAGCAATTCTTCCCTTTCTCGCCTGCATACTCAGTGGTTTCCTTTCCACTGGATATTCCCATTGGCAAACAAATACTTACCTCCCGCCTTTGGGAAAAAAAACAAGATTTCTCTTGACCCCACATTGTCATTCACCTACTACCCCATTTCTCTGCTTCCCTTTACAGGAAAACTCCTCCAAACAGTTGTCTGTATCTACTGTCTCAATTCTTCCCTTCTCTGCTGAACCCAGTCCAGGCAGTCTTCTCTCTCCTCCACTCCACTGAAGTAGCTCTTGTCAAAGTCACCAATGACATTCCCATTGCTAAAGCCAGTGGTCAGTTTTCAGTCCCCATCTTACTTGACCTATCAGCAACATTTAAGAGCCGATCGCTCCTTTGCTTTACTTGGTTCTATGACACCATGCTCTCCCGGTTTCCTCCCTACCTCACTGACCTTCCTTCTTTACCTTTATTGCTAGATCCTCACTGTCTTCCGAGCCTCTAAATATTGACATGTCTGAGGCCCAGTCCTCAGATCTCTTCTTTTCTCTATCTGCACTTCTTCCCTGGGTGATCTCATTCAGTCTCACACCTTTTAATATCATCCATATACTTATGACTCCCAAATTTATATCTCTAGCCCTGATTGCTCTCCTGACCCTCAGACCCATATATCTCACTGTCTCGTTGACCTCTGCACTGGAATGTCCATCTCAAACTGAACTTGTGATTCTTCCCCAACATGTCTGTTCCTCCTCATTTTATTAAATGGTAATGCTTCCACTGGCTCAACCAAAATCCTAGTTCTCCTTCATCCCACAGGCTCTCTTCAATGCCATCATCCCAGACCATCATGCGGAAGCCTTCTCACCTCCTCGCCTCGCCCCCTCCGGCTCTGTGGACCAACTTGTGGAAAGTCTCCTGGGCGGCCTGTCTCACTGGGATGCTGAACACTTCCTGTTCATTGCTGAGCATGGCTACCTGTATGAGCACAACTTTGCCTTCTTCCCCGGTTTCCCCCTGGTCCTGTTGGTGGGGACTGAATTGCTGAGACCCCTGTGGGGGTTACTGAGCCTACGGAGTTGCCTGCTAATCTCAGTAGCATCGCTCAATTCCTTGTTCTCCGTGCTGGCCGCACTTGCGCTTCATGACCTGGGCTGTCTGGTTTTGCGCTGTCCCCGCCAGGCTTTTTATGGAGCGCTGCTCTTCTGCCTCAGCCCCGCCAATGTCTTCCTGGCGGCTGGCTACTCAGAAGCTTTGTTTGCCCTCCTGACATTCAGCGCCCTGGGGCAGCTGGAAAGGGGCCGAAGCTGGACTAGTGGACTCCTCTTTGCCCTTGCCACTGGTGTGCGCTCCAACGGGCTGGTCAACGTTGGCTTCCTCGTGCATTCTCAGTGCCGAGGCTTTTTCTCTTCTCTCATGGTGAGGAATCCTCTGAGACAGCTCTTGAAGCTGATGGGCTCTGTGTTCCTGTCAGTGCTCACACTTAGCCTTCCCTTTGCCCTCTTTCAATATTACGCCTATACCCAGTTCTGTCTGCCAGGCCCAGCCTACCCCATTCCTAAGCCCTTGCTGCAGTTAGCTGTGGACAAGGGCTACCGAATCGTAGAGGGAAATGAGCCGCCTTGGTGCTCCTGGGATCTTCCCCTAATATACAGCTACATCCAGGATATCTATTGGAATGTTGGCTTTTTGAGATACTATGAACTCAAGCAGGTGCCCAATTTTCTACTGGCTGCGCCAGTGGCTATACTGGTTGCCTGGGCAACTTGGACATATGTGACCACCCATCCTTGGCTCTGCCTTACACTTGGGATGCAAAGGAGCAAGAACAGAGAGACCCCAGAGAAGCCTGAGCCTGGATTCCTCAGTCCTCGGGTGTTCGTGTACCTGGTCCACGCTGCAGCGCTGCTGCTGTTTGGTGGTCTGTGCCTGCATGTTCAGGTGAGGTGGACTCCTGGCTGGGAAAAGGTGGGAACACGGGCCAAAGCCCTCAGTCGGGGACAGGGAAGACCTTTAACTTTGCCCATTTGAGTGACCTGTACCTAATTTATTCATTCAACAACTATTTGGGGGTGTTTTTAGTGTGAGTCCCTGGGTCAGATCACTGAGGTTAGAACATAAATAAGTTAAGTTTGCTGCCCTGGTAGGTCTTGTGGTCAAAATGGAGAGACAGACATTTAACGGCTTAAATTATAGTATAGTGGGATGGAATTGGAGATATTTTTGAGGTAAAGTATTGTGGAAGCACAGAGGAAAAAGTAGCTAACTGGCTGAAGGAGGTGAGGAGGGCATCATATTTAGGCTGGGTCCTGAAGGGTAAGAAGGAATTCCATTTAAGAAGCAGAGGAAGAACATTCTGGGCAAATGGAAGGGCATGTTCGAAGACAATGAGAGTTGTGAAAGGACCTGATCTGACTGAGTTATAGGAATAGCACAGAGGGTATCTCTGGGACCTTCCCCTAACTTACAACTATACCCAGAATGTCTGCTTGAATGTCGACTTTCTGAGGTACTCTGAGCTCTGGCAGGTGCTCCATTTTCAGAGGAGCTCTCTTGTGCAATGTTCAGTTGGTGGGGAGGATAGAGAGGGATGGGAAGGGTTTGATCATACATTCGATTTTTTTTGGTTCCTGGTTGTGGCCCCAGGTCCACCATAAACCCTGAGGAAGCCTTTTTGTCTCCATGCTGGCCACTCCTCAGCAGTTTCTGCCTCTTGGAGGTGCACATTGGCTGTTTGTAAAGTTCTCTGCGCTATGTGACTAAGAGGCACAGGGGAAATAGAAAGGAGCACTCTGTGTTTGTAGCTGGATGAGCTAGTAGAGTGAGTGCCAGCGAAGCTTAGAGTTTCAAGGATAGACGAGGGGGGGCCATTTGGAGACCTGGCTCTGAGCTTCCCTAGAAGGACAGTGTTGAACCACAGGATCCCTTGCCCCCTTTCTCTCTGCTTTGCCATCCCCGTGGGATGAGGGAACCATTTCAGGGGGCAGGGGATCAGAGTCCTGGCCCTGGGCTAAAAGTGGACCCCACAAACTTTTTTTTTTTGGCCATGCCGCGTGGCACGTGGGATCTTAGTTCCCCAACCAGGGATCGAATCCACGCCCCCTGCGTTGGAAGCATGGAATCTTAACCACTGGACTGCCAGGGAAGTCCCCTGACCACCCGCCGCCCCCACCATAGAATTTTTAGTATCAGTTGGCCCATTATTGTGGTAATTAGTGTGTAGCCATGTTTATTTGTAACATTGCAGTCACCTGGCTGGCGTCATGCACAGCTTTATAAGGCAGATCCTAAGCTCTGCTGAATGAATATCTTTTCCAGTGTAATACATTTGTAGTCTTAGAGCTATAGCTAACCCAGCAGCAGGGAAGTCCCAGGCTCATCCAATTTGAGGCAGTGACATTCCAGTAAATGTGTGGGTTTTCCCCCTCTTATGATTTCCAGGTTCTCACCAGGTTTTTATGCTCCTCCACTCCAATTGTGTACTGGTTTTCAGCTCACTTGCTTCAAGATCAAGAACCACTGCTGAGATCCCTAGAGACTGTGCCTTGGAAGCCTCTTTCAGGGGACTCCCCACCAGGACAAAAGGTCCCCAGAAACTCTATCATGGGACTCTTGTACAACTGGAAAACTTGTTCTCTGGTCACACGGTGCATTCTAGGCTACTTCCTGACCTACTGGCTCCTGGGACTACTCCTGCATTGCAACTTCCTACCTTGGACATGACCTGGAGACTTAGGGGACAGGCTTGAAGCAGACTTAACCAAGGTCTGAAAGTACAAATACATGCTGGGGCTGCCTGTGCTGCCCTGGAACCCTTACTCTGCCCGTTAGAACCTCTCTCTCCTTGAAGGTTGGTTAGGAATGGGAGAAGTGTGAGCCTCTAGAGAGCACCTTCTGGTCCTGGCTATGGCAGACTTTAGGGTAGTAACTATTTTCTCTGTAAATGAAGAAATCTTATTCCAGGTCTAAAGCATACCTGGATCTGTCTTGTCAATCAACCATAGCAGAGATAGTCTTAAACTTACCACCTACCCACACGTAAATTTAAATGTAAATTATTTAAATGTGAATTTCATCAAAGGCTCTAGCTGACAAGCTGGTCATAGTCCACACAGTGATGGCGGAGGCCTGGACAGTGTAGCCTAAGTACAATGGGACCATCTTTTCTAAATGGGACATTGTTTCTGATTATTTTTTTCATGATTTGTTCACTTATTTATATGAAAAACCTTACAAAGATACGCAAATTAAACAACTCTTGATTATATCTGCAATTAATTACCTTTTTATTTTTTAAATTATTTTATTTTATTTTATTGGCTGCACAGCTTGCGGAAGCTTAGTTCACTGACCAGGGATTAAACCCGGTCCACAGCAGTGAAAGCACCGAGCTGGACCACCAGTGAATTCCCATAAATTACCTTGTTAAAAATATAATACAAATTAAGGGCTGAGACCCTGCCACATACTCTGCATCCACACTTCATTTGGATATTAAAGGTCAATTGAGGCAAAAAAAATTAATACAAGTTACTTGGGGGAAAAAAGTCATGGTAAGAAGAACATTGCATGAGGAGGCAGGAGGCCTGGATTCTGGTCCTCTCAGTAAAGCCCCACTTACCAGCTGTGTGACCTTGGGAGAGTTTTCAGAGCCTTAGTTACCTCTTCTGAAACTAGGGGAAAATTACATTCTCCCACGGGAAAAAATATCCAGTTCTCCTCTTTTCAGCACTCTGAGGAGTAATTTCAGTGGCGTTTCCTCTGAAGGAGGAAGAGCAGTGACACTTGGCAAATAAGGCTCCCCTGTCCTGTGTAAGTAAGCCTGCCCAGGGGCAACTAAATGTTCAATGTGTGAGCAGTGACTGGTTTTCCGGCCCTGCCTGAGTGCCTGTGCTTTCTTGATTGGTAGGTAAGGGTCAGATGAGCCAACACAGCAGCAGGAATTGATAAATTGTAGGTAAGTCCAGGGTTGAATGAAATGGTATCTTCCTGGCCACCATTTGGTAATGGGCTTGACTCTATAATTGTAGTAAAATCTTGACCCCTGCTGAGCTATTTTTTCTCATTCTTTGAGCCAGGTAAGAGGCTCTGCATCATCACCACTCTTTCCCCATTTGAGCCAAAAATTCCAACAAGCAGAAACTTCGAAATAGATGGATTGACACGCTCCCTCTGACCATGACTGAAAGTTAAACTTGCCAGCTGAAGGGAAGCTCCTGGCTGAGCCCCAGCACCCTCTATTGGAGCTCCTAGTCAGCCTGGCCAATAAGCATTTCCCATCCATCGCCCCAGCTTTAGCACAGCTGAGAGAATTTGGTCCAGAGTCAAATGCTTCTGAAAATGTACACACAGCTCGGGACAGCCCTCTGCCTTCTGCCAAGACACCCGAGTGCCCTTCTTGGCAAAAGATGATCACCCCTGCCCTAGTGTCCCTCCAGTTGGCAGAAACTGTTCCCTCCCTCCTCACCCACAGCTGCAAATCTGGGGACTTCCACCCTGTGTGCAGGAAGCGTTGAGGGCCTGATTCAGCTCTTTATTGCAGAGGTAGGAGTACTAGATTGTTTGCTCTCGTGGATTGACCTCTTTGCCTCTTTTGGGGGGGATAATCAGAACTGATTGTTTCCCTACTGGAAGAGGTGACTCAAACTCCGCAGGGTAGGGGGTGATTTCACTGCTTTGGCAGTCTCAGCTTAACGTTCACACTAGACCTCGTCACCCCCAGAAACAAGTGATTTCAAGGACCGGAAACCCTATAAATGCGAACCTCTCATTTCTCAACTAATACCAAGGAACTAAATCACTCTGGTATTTTGCAAAGACCATTCTGGTTACAGCCGATCATAGAGGAGTTAAGTGAGGACCCCAGCTAGGTGGACGTACCTGGTGTGACCTGGAGATGGACACAGTTTTCTCTCTGACCTTGGAGGGATCTAGTTCTCTAAGGAGCTAAGGAATGGGCTGATTTTATGGCCAGCAGCTGTCCTTTTACTATCCTATTAACAGTCTTTAATAGCCTTCGAGAGGGATATGAAGGGCCCAAGGCAGGAAGCTTCCTGTTTACCCTGAGGTCTAACAATGCTGCAGCTGGGTTGGGCGTCTACAATTTCAGAGAAAAGTCATTTCCTTCTGAGACCCAGCTAAAACAGAAACCAGACGCTTTATGTACCTAGAAGTAGATGCTTTTTTGTTCTTTAATGAAGGTGGGAGGAGAGGGAGCGTTTGACATGGCTTTACCAGTCCCCCTGAAAAAAAAAATCACTTTTCTTGAACAGACCCTCTCACCCTCCTCCAAAAAATGTAGTGTGTGCAGGCTCATGGGATTTGCAACTGATTGATTCTTTCAGCAATTGTTCAGTATTGCCTGTTTTAGGGGACTAAAGAATACTCGCCCTGCTTCCTGTCCTCAAATAGCTGCCTGATAGAGTTTCTAGCAGAAACACAGGAACGTTAATCAAGGAAAAAACTAATAAATTCTGGGAAATGAAGAGATACTTAAACTTCTTGCTCAGTATTCTCTACTTGAACTTTTTATGGTGAGGATGAATTAAAATTTTACTTGTATGCTTGGGAAAAGGTAACTGTGGTACAGAGTAAGTTCTCTGTAAATTCACACAAGATGGAGATCCCTCCCAGCTTGGAATACTTGAAAAGACTTTGTAGGGAATGGCCTTTGAGTTGGACTTTGAAGGACAGTAGGATTTGAAGTTAAGGGCAGAGAATGAATATAGGAAGCAGGAAACAGAACAGGACAGGGAGAGCTCAGTTTGAGTGGAACTGAGGTATTGTCATTGTGGTCTAAGCATTGAAATCAGCTCCAAGCCCAGCTCCACTGTGTACTAGCTGTGTAAAGGTGAGCCAGATACTGAATCTCTAGGCCTCTGTTCACTCATCTGTAAAACATGGATAACACTATCTACCTCATAGATATGAATAATAATGTTATCTATCTCAGAGTTATGTGAGTTAAATGAAAAATGTTTAGAATAGTACTAACGAAAGAATAGCTGCATTTTGGACATGTTGAGTTTACAATGCCATCAGCACATTCACATGCCAGGAAATGTGGACCAGGAGACAAGGAGAGGGGTCAGGGAGCAATCCACACAGACATGATAATTATAGCAGCCATGATATTGGATGAGATTGTCAAAAAGAAAAAATGTAGAGAGAGAAGGAGGGCCTGTAAAACCTTGGGCAAGTGACTCAACTTCTCTAAACCTGTTTTCTCATCTCTAAAATGGGGGTGACATCACTTACCACACAGAGTAGTTATGAAGATTAAATGAGATAAAGCACTAGATAAAGCACTAGCATAGCACGTAGCACATAGTAAGAACTTAATGAATGGTAGCTATTTTTTATCATCATCATCGTCATCATTGTTATCGTCGTCATTAAAAAACCAGGAACAAATATTATCTGCTGTACACAACATTGTAAATCAACTATACTTCAATAAAAAAATTTTTTTTAATTGCCTTTCTTTTTAAGGCTGAATAATATTCCATTGTATGTATATACCACATTTTGTTTATCCATTCATCCTTTGAGGGATGTACTTGGATAGCTCCACCTTTTGGCTATTGCGAATAATGCTGCTATGAACATTGGTGTACAAATACCTGTTCAAGTCCCTGTTTTCAATTCTTTGGGGTATATACCCAGAAGTATATATTGCTGGATCGTATGTTAATTCTATGTTGTTGTTGTTTTTTAGGAACTGCTATACTGTTTTCCACAGGATTTGCATCATTTTGTATTCCCAGTAGCAGTGCACAAGGATCCAAATTTCTGTGCATCCTCACCAACACTTATTTTCCTTTTTTTTTCCTTCTTCTCTTTTTTTAAAATACTAGCCATCCTAGTGGTTGTGAAGTTGTATCTCACTGTAGTTTTGATTTGCATTTCCCTAATGATCAGTGATGTTGAGCATCTTTTTATGTGCTTATTGGCCATTTGTATGCCTTTGGAGAAATGTCTATTCAGATCCTTTGCCCTTTATTTATTTATTTATTTTGGCCTCACCACGTGGCATGCAGGACCTTAGTTCCCTGGCCGGGGATGAACCTGCGCCTCCTGCAGTGGAAGCGTGGAATCTTAACCACTGGACTGCCAGGGAAGTCCCCCTTTGCCCTTTTTTTTTTTTTTGGCTGCTTTGGGTCTTCATTGCTGCATGCAGGCTTTCTCTAGTTGTGGTAAGCAGGGGCTACTCTTCACTGCGGTGCGCGGGCTTCTCATTGTGGTGGCTTCTCTTGTTGTGGAGCGTGGGCTCTAGGCGCGCGGGCTTCAGTAGTTGTGGCACATGGGCTCAGCAGTTGTGGCTCGCGGGCTCTAGAGTGCAGGCTCAGTAGTTGTGGCTCACGGGCCTAGTTGCTCCGCGGCATGTGGGATCTTCCCGGACCAGGGCTCGAACCCATGTACCCCGCATTGGCAGGTGGATTCTTAACCACTGTGCCACCAGGGAAGCCCAGGTCTAACATTCTTACACATGTGAATATCCAGTTTTCCCAGCACCATTTATTGAAAAGACTGTCCTTTCCTCATTGAAAGGTCTTGGAGGTCTTGTCAGAATCTTTTGACTGTATATGCAAGGGTTTATTTCTAGGCTCTGTATTCTACTCCATTGATCTATATGCCTTTCTTTATGCCAGTACCACACTGTTTTGATTACTGTAGATTTGTAGTAAGTTTGAAAACAGGAGGTATGAGACCTCCAATTTTATTCTTCTTGTACAAAACTGTTTTGGCTATTCAGGGTCCCTTGAGGTTTCATATTAAATTTAGGTAGTCAAAGCTTTTTTCTTTTGGGCTCATAATTTCTTTGGCAATACAGTTACCTCAAAATATTTTTGGAGGTGGGCTTCCCTGGTGGCACAGTGGTTGAGAGTCCGCCTGCCGATGCAGGGGACACGGGTTCGTGCCCCGGTCCGGGAAGATCCCACATACGGCGGAGCGGCTGGGCCTGTGAGCCATGGCCGCTGAGCCTGTGCGTCCAGAGCCTGTGCTCCGCAATGGGAGAAGCCACAACAGTGAGAGGCCCGCGTACCGCAACAAACAAACAAACAAGCAAACAAAAAACAAAAAAACAAAAAAAAATATTTTTGGAGGGACTTCCCTGGTGGCGCAGTGGTTCAGACTCCGCACTCCCAATGCAGAGGGCTCGGGTTCGATCCCTGGTCAGGGCACTAGATCCCACAGGCATGCCACAACTAAGAGTTCGCATGCCACAACTAAGGAGCCCACGTGCTGCAACTAAGGAGCCCACATGCCGCAACTAAGGAGCTGGCAAACTGCAACTAAGGAACCCTTGAGCCACAACTAAGGAGCTCCCCGGCTGCAACTAAGACCCGGTGCAACCAAATAAATAAATAATAAAAATATTTTTAAAAGAGAGACAACATTGTAAATGAACTTTACTCCAATAAAAAATAAACATTAGGGACTTCCCTGGTGGTGCAGTGGTTAAGAATCCACCTGTCAGTGCAGGGGATACGGGTTCAAGCCCTGGTCCAGGAAGATCCCACATGCCGTGGAGCAACTAAGCCCATGCGCCACAACTACTGAGCCTGTGCTCTAGAGCCCGTGAGCCACAACTACTGAGCCTGAGTGCCACATCTACTGAAGCCCACACACCTAGAGTCCGAGCTCTGCAACAAGAGAAGCTACCATAATGAGAAGCCCACACACTGCAACAAAGTAGCCCCCGCTCACTGCAACAAGAGAAAGCCCATGTGCAGCAACAGAGACCCAACGCAGCCAAAAATAAATAAATAAATAAAATTATTTAAAAAAAAATTACATTTAAAAAATAAAAGAAGTAATGAGACACAAGCTTTAAAAATATATATATATTTTTGGTATATAAATCAGAATTCTCCAGAGAAACATAACCAATTAGATGTACGTGTGTGTGTATCTGTATCTATATGTATGTATGTGTCTATATACATAGAGAGAGAGAGATTTTAATGAATTGGCTCATATGATTGTGGAGGCTGGCAAGTCCACAATCTGCTGGGTAGGCCAGCAGCTGGAGACCCAGTGGAAGAGCTGATGTTATAATTTGAGTCTGAAGGCAGTCTACTGGCAGAATTACCTCTTTCTCAGGGAAAGTCCATCCTTTTTCTATTAAGACCTTCAACTGATTGGATGAGACCCACTCAATTTATGGAGGATAATCTGCTTTTACTCAAGTCTACTGTTTTAAATGGTACTCTTATCTGAAGAAAAACCTTCACAGAAACATCTAGATTATTTGACCAAATATCTGTGTACTGTGGCCTAGCCAAGTTGACACACAAAATTAACACAACAGATTTCTGCTCTATTTGCTTCTAGTCAGATCCATGTGACACTAACCACACTCAAGTTCTTTCCTAGATAGAATTCTCAAGCTGATATATTTATATCCTCATCACCCCCTCGCCTCACTCTCAGCATAATAGTGGCTACATTGAAGTCATATGAAGTAAGTGGAAAGGCCACACTCTTTACCTGATATTTGCCTTAGAGGTAATCACATCTTTCACCTCATGTTGTTCAAGACATTTTTTGATCTTATACAATTTGTAGTCAAGAAGCAGTCATCTTTTCTGACCCTGAAAGGCCCATCATTTTTGGACTTTCTCCATTTCCCTTTCACCTCTGCTTGAAAATCAGCTAATTTTCACCTAATTTCACCTCTTTCTTCTAATACTTTATAAAGACACTTGTGCTAGTTATTAAGTTATTGTCTCAGCTCCAAATCCACCCTTCTACTTTCTACTATGAGATAGTGGAGCTGGGACTCTGCAAATCACTTTTCTGCTGTTAGCTGACTCTACTTTGGGCTCTGCCAATGGGGGCCACTAGAGGGCGATAGTGAGGTCACAGGAGGAAGAAAGGACTCCTTTCTTCCTTCTGCTTCCTGTTCGTGTGAGGTCACCCTAGCAATGCTCCTTCACCCCAGCAGCAGCATTGCCTTCCTATAGCAACAGCTGAATCCACTTTGCAGTTTTTCCCAAAAGTTACAAACCCAGCTTCATGGTGTCCCAGTCAGAGACACCAGCACCATCTGGATAGCACCCCTTTCTCAGAAGTGTTGGTCCCTCCTCTAAGTTCAGAGACACCAGACACCAGCACTAGACTTAGAGGTCTGAGTTTCAGCTCTGTAGGGCCCCTCTTCTTCTTTTTTTTTTTTTTGGCTGTGCCACACAGCATGCGGGATCTTAGGTCCCCAACCAGGAATCAAACCTGCACCCCCTGCAGTGGAAGCAGAGTCTTAACCACTGGACCGCCAGGGAAGTCCAGGGCCCGTCTTCTAAGTTTCTAAGTTTTAGTAATTCCAAACTCTTTCCTTTGTTCTCCTAGCCCTAGGAGTTATAGATGCTTCCTGCTGTTGCTGCGTCCATGG